CCTGAAAGAAACGCCGGCGTGCAATCTTGCGTGTGCCAGCAGTGCGTTGGGTCAAATCGTCGACCCAAATGCGATGTGACAGGTGCGGATGTGCTACAGTCAACTCCTGAAGGATGAAGCGCACCAGACATCGCCCAAACCTAGTACCACTACGAAGGCCTTGAACTATACTCTAAGATGGTTGGAACCCCAAGGAGCCAGATCCCATCTGAGACAAGATCTTAGGCGCCAGACACATCTGAAGTTCGAGAGCCAGCATCGCAGCTGGGAACCCTCAGTTTGAGGGCGCACTTGACAAAGGGGCCCCCATTGCACAGCATCGTAGAACCTCTTCATGTCCAGGAGAGCCTCCCCGTGAGCGATGCCCAATCTCGACAGCGCCTCATCCCGCAGCGCGCGCAAGAATGCCTCGCGCAGGGCGGAGTTCCCCGCCGCCGCCGCGCCCCAGTCGGGCTGGGAGTCCTGGGGCCAAGAGCGGGCGACGCCCTCGCGAGCCAGAGACCAGGTCTTAGAAAACATTGACATTCAACCGAGAACGCGCCCCCCCCCCCCCCCCCCCCCCCCCCCCCACCCCCCCTCCTCCCTCCCTCCCCTCCTCCTCCTCCTCCTCCTATCCTCCACCCCTCCTCCCCTCTCCTCCTCCTCTATCCTCCTCCTCCTCCTCCTCCTCCTCCTCCTCCTCCTCCTCCTCCTCCCATCCTTGCTCCCCAGGACTCCCGAGAAGCTCCCGAGGGCCCCCGCGAAGCTCTCCTTCTGGCCCCTGCCGCAGCACGCTTCGCGGCAGCTGCCATCTCGTGGATCGCCCTGTCAGGAGCACGCGCGATGTGAGAAAGCTTCGCCTGCCAACCACTCCAGACCGAGGATTCGCGCCCCTCTGCAGACGCGACGCCAACCAAAGGAACGTGCACACCTAGAGGCTGGTCTTCTGCAAGGGCGCGCGCAGCCTGACAAAGTTGGCGCTGTTGAGCATGCCCGTTGCCCCGAGAGCGATGCTTCCCGAGGCGAAACAGCACAGTAGATACACGCCCCCACCAAGAAACCACCACGTCGTAGAATGGTTGGCCCCGAATCCGAGGCTTTCATCCCGACGGCCCGAAAGAACGGCCCCTGGGCACGAGTAGACCCTCCATCTAGACATAACCCGTGGTGCGTGGTGAGTGTACGGTCGATTGTAGAAACCCAAGCACCATACATAGCACTAAGACGAAGAATATGCTGCCCGCCAACAGCGAAAGCTGCCGACTCCCTGATCGCTGGCCACACACCCTCCTCCTTGCGCGCGCGTCAGCGAACCCGACCTCCTCTCTGCAGGCATCCCTGACAGCGGAAAGAACAGAGAAAGAGGGGGGGAACTGCTGTCGTCTGCCGAGGGACGGTTCGGGGCGATGGGGAGCGATGGCAGGGCAGGCGCAGAATTTTCCGAAGGTACGGCCTGTTCCTCGAGACCCGCAACCTCGGCCGCGTTGGGCCTGAGGCTCGGGGTGGCGGATGGATCGGCGTCGACCGATGCATTAAAGAAATCACGCGCAACGGCTGCCTCGCCGTCGGGCTCATCGTCGGAGTCAACGGTCCGAAAAGGCACGGTCACACGCCCTTCATCCTTCAAATCACCGAACATCTCATGGGTGGCGTCAGCCATCATCGTCATGGCCGTGAGCTGTTGTTCACGCCGTTGTCGTGTGGCGGCCTGAGACTTGGAGCCCTCAATGGGAGCCTGACGAGGTCTGGGAACCTGTGGAAGGCGACAAGAAAGTACGAGTTCCCGACACATCAGCTGCGCTCCCGAGCCCCTGATCTGAATCTTCAGCCCGCAGTGGGGCCCCCACGGGACCGAAAGATCAGCGCTGACGTCGACGACATATGGGGTACACGACGGACAAGCAATCACGCAATCAATCATGGACCCCTTGCCGACTTCGCAGGTGGTCTCGATGTCGGGCGTCAAGATAATCCCATGGATCTGTTGAATAAACCCTTTGGCTGTCAGGATCTCTGGGGTCTCGTTGAAGTCCCCTGCGATGAACCAAGGTAGTCTGAGTTGTGAAACGAAGGCTCCCAAACGCGCATACCTCGCCAGATTGCGTCCTCCAAAAGTGTATCCATAAAAGGCAATCGCGACGATGGAGAAACCTTGCAAATGAGTGATGGTGGCCGCAAAACCGTCCACCGCAGCAGTTCCTTCAGCATGAAGGCCTCGTACCGCGGCATCGTCAGCCACAAAGTGTTGAACCTGAAGGTGCTGGCGACTGAACCGCATCTCGTCGCCCTCGTTGGCTCTGGACTCCATGAACTCAGAAGTGGCACGGCCAGTCGCGCGTGCAGAGTTGAACAAGGCTTTGAAATGATGTCGTTTAGCAGCATGCCGCCAACGAAGGAGGTCAGCAGCAGTCTCGACGCGAGTCTCTGCTAACCCGAAGTGGCGGTATCCAGCACGGGCCTCGCTGACCAGGAAGTCCCAAGCCTTCGGCCCCAACATCGCAATGTTGCTGACCAGAATGCA